TTCTCTGTGGCTGTCCCAGTAACACTTCATCAGTTAATGAAGTGCCACTCAGCCATTTCAGTACAAAAGAGCAGAAAGATGTACCTATGAAAGCATTAGCCACTTTTATTCAGGTATTAGTCATTTGACATCTAAATTATTTTCCATTTACTATGAAGAACAGTTATATTTTGTAGACATTCTCCCCATTTTTTAATAGCAATAACTTGTTAATGGCTACAATTGCAAATTTCCATAAATGAGTCACGAAGAGATCTGCACCATTATGTATGAGTGTCTCCATCCAGCAGCAGATTTTTCTCAGCAATTATTTTAGATAATTTTCAAATAAGTGGGAAAAAAAGGTACTCAAATTTCAGATTATAAAAAAAAATGAGCTGTGGATTCCCTGTTCCTGGAAGTGTTCAAAGCCAGCTTTGATGGGGTTCTGAATAACCTGATCTAGTGGAAGGTGTCCTTTCCATGGCAGGGGCTTTGAAACTACATGATCCTTAAGGTCCTGTCTCGGTTTGAAAAGACAGGTGTCTACTAAGGAAGGCAGGAGCTCCCCTTGAAATGGAAAATGTAAACCACCTCCCTCTGAATTATTATAATTTTTTAATTAAGGCACTCTTAGGTAAAGATATCGGAGTAGGAATAACATTTCTTTACTAGTATGTAAAAATAATAAAAAAAAAACAACCTACAACTTAATAGGAAAACGAAAATAAAATGAAGTAGTACAAAAACCACTGACAGAGTCAGAATACAACCTAACACACTGTTGGTCAGGGTGTTGGTAGCAATCGGAATAAGTGGCGGCTGCAGTCCTCCTAGAGTGACAGACAACGTTTTGTTGAAGCAGTGATCCTGTAGAAGGGTGTAGTTTCCCCTCTGAAGGTCCAGTGGTGGTGTAGAACAGTCTGGTCTTCTTCTGGGAATCTAGGGGAAAAAGGCTGACTATGGTACTCTAAGTTTCAGATCATATTTAGGTAGGAATGCTTGGCTCCTCCTCCTGGGTGGAGCATCTCAAGGGGATGATGTAATTTATCAGTCATGCTGTGACACTCAGCGGCCCATTATCAGAAGATATCCCCCTGGAGGGAGGTTGGGTTGTGGAAGAGACAAAGAACACTGCCCCACCTGGTTTTAAGAGATGGTAACAGAATACATACTCTTGGTTACATCTTGCATTGCAACCCAAGGCAGGTCCCTTCAAACCCAAACCATTCTATGACTCTATGATTATATGATTCAGACTTACTACTGATTTCACAAAAAGTGCTTCTGTGTGATAGCGATTTATCCATCTGATGACAGTTATATTAAGGTCTAATTTTTATCCAAATTTTCATACGTTTAATGTATGATTATTGATACTATGTATGATAATTCTTCCTGAACTATTATCTGATACTAACACATTAGAAGTCTTAAAAGATATTAATTTAAATTTATCAACTAGGTTTGTGATTTAAGTGATATTTAAAGTAAGATTTGTATCAGCTGAACTAATCATACTCTGTCATTCAGTCATTGATACAATCTTTTATGTTTTCAATTCTTGAGGGCTGATGCCTACCGTCTTTCAAGTAATAGTATTTCTCTGAACCTTATTACATGAGGACCATGCAAAGCAGAGATATTCACAATGTGAGTAAATCAGATAACTGTATTTTAGGATTAAGATCAATTTGGTACCCAAATGCTAAACATCTGACAAATACCTGATTTTCATCAAATAGCACTTGAAAAACTAAGTTTTTTAATGATGTGCTGAAGACACGCTTGTGATTTAAAAATATTTTTATAAAATACTTGTAGCATTTCCAGTTTACTTGTGTTCCAGCATGTGGTTTACAATCCACAAGAGCCAGAGAAAAACGAGAGGAAGAGATTTAGTCAGGAAACAGAAACAAATCACCTCAAGATGAATGAAGAATGTCTGAGCAGAGGGGAAAAGTCAGTTGAAAATTGCAGAAGACTGAATTTAATACTGGTCCCAGCTTTCAGGTAGGATACCTGGCAGGTAGATGTGCTTAACCTGACCTGGGTAAAAAAAGCACAGTTGCTGTAGAAGGCACTGTCATCCTGGGCTTATTCCAAGAGAAGTGGGATTGTGAAGAGAGGTTGTTTGTGAACAGACACTTAGAGAAACTTAAATGGAGTCACAGGCAGCTCCAGCAGGACCAGGACATCAGGAGGTTCTAGTAAGTTCCACAAACTTCCTCCAACTACTAACACAATGCAAGTGAGCAACTGTTTATATACTTTTTTTCTTATCATAATATGTTTAATAATATATCTAAATACATATACAAGTTTCCTTACTGATCTCAGTAAAATAAATGCTTAAATCTCCTAAGGAAGACTTGTTCTACCAGATGGTCCATTCAGAGTGGTACTACTAAGTATAGAGCAAGGCACAGAACTGTCACTCTTAATGCACATCATATATGCTAGATCAGATTTTCCAGTTAATAGCAGTGCCATTTGTCTTATGACACAGCATAAACAGCAGAGAACCTGCAAAAAAAATAAGTAATGGGTCAGATTACAGGTCTGTCTACTATTCAATCTCCAATAAAGACAATAAAACGCATCTGCAGAACAAGTAAATGGTACTTTCTTTAAGTATTCTTTCAACATTAGGTAGTCTGTATTCTGCATATTGCTGTACCAGCATTGTTCAGGTAGGTGCAAAGTTGAGGCTGGGGTGATGGGGATGGCTGAGACAGCAGCACAGGTTCCTCATTTAAGGGAGTGAGGTTTGGGAGCATCCCTGCTCACCAGCAAGACCTCACACATCATCTGGAGTTACTACTGCTGCTGCTGAGAGAATGAGAAAACTAAATTCAGAAACCTCTACCTTAAACCATGGGAAATACCACCAAGTTCAATGGGACTATTCAATATAAGCACATAAAAATAAAATTAATACATTCCTAACTGACTTGTTAAGTTTTGCCGCACAATAGCAGGAAGTATGTAAATAAGTATTTTTATTGTACTACCTTCCTGCAGGTTCTGTTTACAAGTCATTCTATTTGTCGTCTACCAACATCCTCAGTGCCTCCAGCAAGCTGTGGAAAACAAATCAGGACAAGCTTCCAGCGGGGCATAAACGCCATATAATTTTTTCCTACACGCTAACTTCTTGCCCAACTGCTGTCACGTTTTTGCAGGCGAGTGCAGGTTCGAAGGAGCTGAAGGCGTTCGTGGTTCGTGCCCTGCGAGGCCGAAGCTGTGGCGCCCGTCTCCTCACGGGCCCGTCCCGAGGCCGCCGCGGGAGCGGGAGCGGGGCCGCGCGCAGAGCCGAGCCCGCGGCAGCGGCGCCCCCTGGCGGCTCCGGGCAGGGCTGAGCTCCGGGCTCACCCCACGGCAATGGAAATAATGGCTCTCTTTTCATCTACATCGCCTCTGGCTGTTACTGCGTCCTTTCAAGAATCAGAGTAAAGCGAAGGCTTCGGTGAAATGCTGTAAAGAACCTACCACATTCAAACCAATATTTAACACTGGATCAGAAGTATTGGGTAGTATGACACTGTACTGCTGAATAGAGAACACACATACTGTTCAGAGTGCTGTTTTAAGTTTTTTTTCTAAAAGTCAAGGTCACCTTTCCAAGATCTTTGGTTTACAGCACGGCTCAGCCGTGATTACTTCATCTTCCTTCAATCTATCAATATAATCAAACTGCCTACAAGAGTCCCACAAAAACACACAAATATTTATTTATAAAAAGTCCAAGCCAAATCACTTGATGCAAATTTTCCCTTTCCCAAAAGGACTCCACTCTCAGCTACTGTAATGCAAATCCTCACATTAAAAAACAAGGGCCATTACTGATCTATACCAGCATTGTTATTAACATAACATTATCTTTTGTCCTTTTCAATTTCTACTGACATCCCAAAGACTCAGATTAAAATGAACTTAAATTAATGATTAAATTAAAAATATAAGTGCTGATGTTTAGTAATTATGCAGGAAATAAAAAATTGAAATAATACTAAAAGAAATATGCAAAATTTAAGAGGTATGATCTATCAGTTTGTATTGAGGACCAAGAGGCCTCATCATCTCATCAATACGGAATGCATCACAAGCAGTATATGAAAAGGGGACTTTTAAGTTCCATAAATGAGCCACCTCAAAACTGCTGCTCCAATGCACTTACTGAAGGACAAGACTGAGGGAAGTCTCTGAGGAAAAAAGATACCACAGAGCAAAGAAAAACATAGTCAAAAAAGTGTATGCTTAGAATATTAATGTACTTGCTCCATGAGCAGCGTTAAATGATACCGTTATCAAATAGAAAACGTGTATTAACAAATAAATTATGACGACCAACATTACAATAGCTGTTTCACTGTAAATCATGGTTTATCTTTTCAGAACGTGCTTCTAGTACTGACAACCATCCTGGCTGCCACCCACTGACACCAACTCAGAACAGCGCGCAGGAGCACACGGGAAAAATACATTTCAAGAAATTAAAAAAAAATAAATAAACTGGCTTAGGCAGGAGACATAATTAGCTGGTTTTAAAATCTACATCATTTGCACATCCTTGACTACCGGATCTGGTTTGTTTCGAAACAAGGAACCGAATAGTAACTTGGCACCGGCACTCCTAAGGATGCCGCGTTCTCGGGGCGGGGCGGGGCCGGGCCGGGCCGAGCCGGGCCTGGCTTGGCCTCCACCGCGCAGGCGCGGAGCCGCCACCTCCCCTCGCCCCATTGGCCACGCTGCCCGCGCTTCGCTCCCCGCCCCGCCCCGCCCCGCCCGCCGCCGCCGCCGCGCAGGCGCAGTCGCGGTCCTTTCGGGAAGGTTCTGTGTCGCACCAGCTTTTCCTTCCTCCGCCAGGGAAATCCTGTCCGGGTACGGGCCGCCCGCAGCCCCGCTCCTCCCCGCCCCGCCCCGCGCCGCACGGGCTCTTTCCTGGCACCGTCTGCAGCCCGCGCCCTTCCCTTCACAGCCCGCCCGCCTCCCTCGACAGCCGCCTGCCCGTCCCCCGCAGCCGGGCCGCGACCTCCCGCCGGCCCGGTCTCTGTTTGTCGCTGCCCCGAGCTCAGCCGCTGTCGAGCCCTGGGCCGGCCCCGCAGCCTGTCCTGCCCCGGGGGCACGCGGCTGTGATGGGCGGCCTCATCAGCGTCATCCGCTGAGCGGGGACATGGGGGCCGTTCCCCTCGCTCCCCAGCTCGACCCCCCGACGAGGTCGGCGGGCGCCCGGCGTCCAGCGGGATCGAACCCGTCTAGGTTAGGGGGGAGCAGGTGATGGTCCTTCCATTGCTGAGGTGCCGGCCTCGCCTCTTGCAGCTGCCTGGAGGTTCTTCTCCTTGAAACGGGTTCTAACTGGGAGCACAAGGGCGGAATAGACGGCTCCGAGCCGCAGGAGTGGGACAGAAGGGACTGCCAGGAAGACCACCGTGCCTGCAGCGCTGCTGCCAGAGTTAGAGAGAAACCTGCCGCCTCTCCTCTCTCTTTCTTGTGATCACCTGGAGAGGAGAGGTGAGTTGTCTTTCCCTCTTGTCATGCTGTAGCAGTGGAGGAATAGGCTAGCTTGCAAGGTGAAGAATGTGTTCAGTACGGCTTCAAGCCCCAGCTGGCTGCTTGGTTTGTTTTATTTGAGACCGCCCTGTGCAAAGGCCCACTGATGGAGAAAGAGATTAGCACCGTGTTAACCGCGCGGTTCTCTCTCCTTTGCTGCAGTGCCCACTTTCACCGCTGCCTCCTGCTCTGCCTGCTCCTGCTTTCAGCATGGTAAAGAAGAATACTATCCCTGATGGGTAAGTATCCCTCACATTAAGCAAGAGGCAGGAGCGGGCATCCCACAGCGAAGGGGCACTGTCTGCCCCAGGCGCTTTCTTGCCTCAAGCATCTTCACCACCTACAGACAGGTAAGGTAGGTATCTTCTCCAAGACAGGAACAGCCCAGCCATTCATCCCCCAGGTGAGTATAATGCTCCAGCCTGTCTGTGAACACTTCTTCATCGGCCACACGCAGTTCCTTCTTCCTAATCTTTTTACCCCCAAGTGTATGTTTACTGGGGAAATGGAGAGTAGTCCATACTCCCTGACTACTCACGTGTTTGCTGCTAGGAATGGTGGAAGAGTTGATAAGATGTGAGCAGGTGATTGCATGCATAAGATCAAGGAATACTTTTGTGAATTCAAATCCAGAAACATCCCGTGTCTTTGTTTCTAACAAGAGGACGACAGAAATGTTGTATCAGCAAAAATATTCCCAAATTAACCCAAATACAGGCATTCTGATGACTTGATTGGGAGTGAATGTGGCCCACAGAATGACGTAATTTTAAACAGATACAGTTCTATTCATCTCGAATAAAGCATAAAAAAAGTCCAAGTTAAGAGTTTTTACCCATGTGTTCTTGATGACATTGATACAAACTTCTTAGAAAGAAGGGTATGCTGAGATAAAAAGGCACACTGTAATGGGGCAATAACTTGCAGTTTATATATTATTTCATGAACATTATGCTGGTTTCAGGGGGAGTGTTAAGTTTGTTTATTAAGAGCATTCTTAGGAGGAGCAATAAGATAGAAAAAACACGTGTTCCTGTAATATTTGTTGGTCTAAAAGCAGTAAATAGAAACAAAAGATGAACAAAATTTAGAAAATAAAGAAGCTGAATTTTTTTCCATGGCTGACAAACTCAAGGATTAAAATTAGAAGAAACTTTAAGAAAAGCTGTTTAAGCATGTCTTTCTCTGAAAGTTTTGATGAAATTTCATTTACATCTTGGATAAAAAAGAGCTAAAGTGGGTTAGTTTTTTTAAGAGTGATTCAGAAATCAAAAAAAAACCAATTAATTGTCCTTGTTTTCTTCATGCTTGGAAATTGCTATTAAAACTTTGAGAATCAGGTGGTTATTTCTCCATTCTTATCCTCCTCTTGCATTTGAACTAGAGAAGCTTTCAGGTTACATGGATTTCTTAAGTATGGAAGAATCAGTGGGCCGTACTTTTGACTTCTACAATTGGAAATTAATACCTTTCAGGGAGAGAAACAGCTACGGTCAAGTATTTGGTTATAAAGTTAGTATGACCTTCTGACAAAGTGCCTGGTACTGAAGTGCTTTCTGTTCAGATAATTTTTATACTGCTAAGAAATGAAGCTAGACATCCACATTAACAGGGGTTTGGCAGTAAAGAAGTTGAAGGCCTTGTCAGCCCCTCAGTCTCACGCAGCAGGATATGGATGTCACCCTTGTGGTAGCACAGCATGTTGTTCTTCACTATCAGTTCAGTAAGCCAGGAAGACATAGAAGTGAACCCTGGAAGGGACTTAAGGAAACTAATTTGAGTCTAGGTAATCATGCACATGCAGTTCACTGGCCTCAGAAATAGGTGTTGGCAGAAGTGAGATTGTGGTACCCTGGAGCATCAGGACAAGTCCAAGTGGTGCAGACTGTGGGAGTACAACCTCAATCACCATGTTGTAATAGCAGTACTCTGACAGTAACTCTTTTGGTTTAATGGTACTGCAAGAGATAAGGAAGGCGGCACTAAATACTGGCATCTTTTAAGATTGTCTTCCTGTTAGTGCCTCAATTCTTAACACTTTGAATCCAAATTTCATTTTGCTAATTCAAGCGATAGAATAAATTGGAAGTCTTGATTAAGGTAGTGGGTAGGAAAAGTGCAACTAAAGAAGAAATGGGGAACCTTATTTTAGGGCAAGGGGTAATGATTTTGAATAGGTTTATATCAGATGTAAGGAATTTTTCTCTATAAGGATGGTGATGCACAAGAATGGGTTGCCCAGAGAAGTTCTGGGTGCCCTTCCCTGTGAGTGTTTTCAAGGCTGGTTGGGTGAGTCTTTGAGCAACCTGTGGTCTAGTGGAAGGTGTCCGTGCCTGTGGCAGTAGAGTTGAAACTAGATGATGTCTAAGGCTTATTCCAACCCAAGCCATTCTGTGATAAAGTATTTCTGGTTTTTACCAGTAATGTCTTGGAGTGGAGGTATGGTGTAGTGTCCATTGCAGTCTCAAACTTACAGAGTAGTACTGGTGAAGTAATTTTGTAGCAAAATGAGACATCAGTGTAAAAGGGGGGGTTCAAGTGACCCCTTGCACTGCAGTTTCCACATGGAGTCAAGTTTTGGTTCTTCACAGTGTCTGAAATGGTTTTATCCTTCAGTAGTTGTACACTGATGTTTTAGTGGAGAACCAGACAGTCCAAGCTGCTTAACAAGTCATAAAATACTATGATGCTTTTACAGATTTGTACTCATTTGTGGTTCAGCATCCAACATCCTGCTGTGGGTATAATTAAATAAACTCAAGTTCTGAAGAGCATCTGCAGAAATGTCACCTTCTGGCATGTTTCCCTTGAATAGTATAAAAAATACTGAGTGGGATCTTTTTGTTAGGAGGGCAAAGCTGGATTATTTTTGCTGATGAGCTATAAGCATGCTTTTTTAACTGATCATTTTGCTGTCCAGGCTTAAAGCATCATCGTTTTCATTTAGACAGGAATATTAAATACTGTGGCATAATGGATTGTGTGCATGTTCAGCAGTGAGTGGGAGAGAAGGATGATATTTTATTTGTAAAAGTGTTTCCTATCATCAGTTTTGAATCAGGTGTCTATAAAGGTGTGGAAGTCACTTGGAAAATCAGGCTGCATGAATATCATGCAGTATCAGTAGCCAAAAAAAAAGGAAAAGAGGTTCCAAGCAGTATTTTCTAAATGGTCTTGCTAGAGGTGACTATTTCAGTAGTTGTTGAATCAGTTTTAAACCAGAAAATTTTACTGGAAATTCAAGCTTCCGTATGACTTTAATAATGTCAATGGTAAAATAAATCATGAAAAAAACCATTTATTCCACATCTGGCTCTATTTAAACTTTAAAACCAAAGCAGATAAAATATGCAGCTGGATGTAATCCATAATCAGTTTCTTCATGTCCAGCTTGTTTTTCATTCAAGCCTCTGTTAGCTTTTAGTCACTGGTACAGGGATGATGATGGTGCCAAGTCCTGTGATAGAACCTCTGACACCTGTCTTTCTTCCTTCCACTCACATTCAAGCAGGATACAAATCACGTGTCACAAGTCTCATTCATGCTTGCTAAAATGCTTAGTTAAGTTTTTGCTCCTGTAATTCCTGTTTATGTGACCACCTGCAGCTTGTCTTTGATAATTTCTGCCTTTATCTATACTTCCTCTGTAGAAGTTTGACTTTCTTTAGTCCAGGCCACTTTTAATTCCCATCCATGTTCCTTTGTTGATGAAAAGTGCCTTCTGCTCATTTTCTACCATAGAGCTGTCAGCAGCTTTTGAGTTTCTTGCTGATTGTGCAGATTTTTTTTCTAGGAGGATTTAAATGGCTTTAAATACAAGAGACTAAAACCCTAAGTTTATTAAGGTCTGACAACAAACTGGGTAATCCTGGGGTATTGTTGTATAAATCTTGTAATATGAAAAAAGTTCAGAATTTTTGCAAAGCCTTTTTTACACTGTTAATAAAAGAAAAAAAGATTTTAAAGCCCTTTTTTGATACTTTATTTTTAACTCCTAAATGCTCCTATCTATGATAACAATGGTTTATTTCCACTCATAGATTTCCAAGAGAAAGCAGGTTAAAACAGCACTGAACTTCTGATCTTAATTGATTCATGTACAATTTACATTTCTTAAATAGGAGTAAATGGAACATAGTCTCAGATTTTTGTTTTCATATTTTACAGCAGATGTAAAGCTACCAGACTCCAGAGTTTACAAACTTGAAAATTCACTTAGGAAGACTTATCTTGCAAAAAATTTAGAATTTAGTAAAAGATTTTATTTGAAACAGCTCGCAGTGATCTCATCTCTAGCTTGCCCTTACACTTTCTCACCTTGTATCTGTCTTCTACAGATCTGCTGTTTGCAACAGCCTTCCTAATGATGAGTTATTACTCCTTTGTTGCTTCATTTGTTGTCCATTAGTTTAAGCACCTGTATGTCTGCATTGTGAGCCTTGATCTGTTCTTTGCCTCATGATGAAGATTACAGAGAGAAGTTGGTGCTAAAGATATGGCTGTAGGAGATTGTTACATGATTGGTTAATATCAAATACACTTCAGTCACCTTCCTTTCTGTTTTAGTTTTTACTTCCAAGCATCTCTGAATGGTGAAGTTGTTATTTATATTGTTGTTATATATATTGTTATACTGTGACAAACATAGATATTTCATTGAGAATTTTTCCAGCCAACTTCTAGTTTTTGTATGGTCCGATACAGGAATTGTGAACAAAGCAAAGTGCTCGGTGGTTAGAATATTTTAAAATTAATTATTCCTTTTATTTCATTAAATGGTGTTGTTTTATGAACATCAGAAAGGAATCTAGAAGCTGTTGGATGCTCCCTTCAAAGGGAGAGATTAATTTAAGCATTAATTCAGAAAATTGCAAGGGAGTGGACATCAGTGTTGAAGAATCAAGTGGAAATGTTTGGTATTTTGATAATTGAGGTATTAGCCAAAAATGCAAAAAGCCTGTCTAGATTTCAAGTCATCCACGTGCACCTTGTTAGGTTATAGAGAGAATTTGCACTTTCAGAAGAAGAGGAAATAATAGTTCTTAGTAAGTTAACCTCTGAAGGTAAAATTGATATGCTGATTGACTTGTTTTCCTCTTCAGATACTGCTTTTCATCCTTTTTAAAAAATTGAAATCTTGAAATATTATATATCAAGAGGGTTTTCAGTACAATGTAGAACTTGTGCATACCAGTTCTTCATGAGTTTGCAATTACAAATGTTTTGAATGTTGTAACAAGTCGTCTTATTGGTGATTTGTTGTGGTAGGTTTTGGTGTGATGGGATATCCTCTGTATTTTTCAAAATGGTGACAGAAAGTTCAATCAAGAATGTTTCTTTGAAAAAGCAGCATATTATAGAGGAAGCATTTTTGGAAAATACAGATTATTTGTATTGTTAATGAAAGTAAACTTTGCATTTCATTGTCAAGTAAATGATTGATGTGTGGCCATGACAATGTTTTTAAGGTGTTTGATTCAGTCAGGTTGAAGAATGTCCACCAACGACACCAATACACTTTCACTTGTTGAACCTTACACATCTGCTTTACTTTATATTGGTGCTACTTATTTGTAAATGTTGCCCTGCCATTTTGAGGAGAGGAATTTCTTGGAAGTTGAAGAAGGAAGGAAGGGAAAAGAATCTTGTCAAATGTTCTGGTGATACTTTGAAAATGATTCATGGAATAATTGCAGATTTAGGGACCTAATTGTACTGTATAATAACAGCAATTTTATGTGCTTTGTGCTGCGGGTGTCTTCTGTTGAATCATGCAACTTGAAAATATTAAAAAATTAATATCTCTTTCCTAACAGATGGCGGAGTTTGACACCAGTTGGACAGCCTATACCAGGAACGAGATTTATTGCATTCAAAGTACCTTTAAAAGGGGTATGTATAAAAGTAACTGCAAATTGACTGTATTAGATAAACTGCAAATGAATGCAGTTAATGAAGAATAGCATGACTATACATACAAATGTCAAGAAAGTTTTTTATAAAATAATTTATTCAAATTTAGGCCTGTCAGCCATCTGGTTTTTAAAAATAATTATATTTTTTCTTATTTTTCTTTATACCTGGTGTTACTCTTCTTATTTATCTTTTTAAAAATAAGCAAGCTTCTAAATCAATCAGCATAATTCATAATTCATAAACCATTAAGTTGCTAAGTCCATAATTTTATTTAATATCTTTTCATGGCTGTTTTAAGAAAATAATATGGAAGAGCTTATAACATGAATAACAATCTCGGCTATGTAAGCCAGAGTATAATTTTATGGATATTAAGCACTCATTGAAGGATACCAGTCACTGCAGAAATTTTAAAATTATAGATCCAGATTGGATAAGCAAAAAGCTTCAGTGATCTGGTGAAACGTAGCTTTCCTCTATTTTACTAATTAATTAATTGAAAAGTACTTTTATTAGTATTTCCTTTAGAGTCTTGCTAACATGAAGTGCCATCCTAAGCTAGTAAATACACTGAGTTAAATATTTAAATTCTTTGATTCTAAAATATATGGAGGTTGTCTTTTTGAGACTGTTCAGTTCTTTAGTGCCTATGCCTTTTTGGAGGCATAGAGCAAATTAGTGTTCATTTGTACAGAAGGGCAAATGGAACAAGTGCTGCATAAATTAACTTCTACAAGTCCTTGCTTTAGATACAGAGGAAATAAAGGTTTCAAAGCACTTTTAAAGAAAGTACAGTGGTGTGACACTGTAGCAGCTAAAGGGAAATGTTCTGTCTTTGTCTACATATTGCTTTCTAGTACTCATACGCAAAAACTTTGGTTCTTTGGGTCTATTACTACCCATTATGTTTTCACTCAACCATTCAGTTCAGTTTTATTAGGAATTACTGAAGTGAAATGCAGGAATTGCTTCCTGCAGCTTCTTTTGCAGCCTTAGGATGATGGTTTGGTTCCTTGGACACCAAGGATCTCATACTTACATGTCATGTTGTCCAAGATGTGGATGGATTGTACAGCTATTTTGTGATTTTCCACCAAGGCTGCCAGTTAACAAATCAAGCTGTGACTATAAAATCCAGTAGAGTTACAATTGGCTTCTTTGCTCTTGTCACAAGGACCACTCCACATCAGCATGTTACTCATTTCCTGTCCTGCTGATCTCACTGGGGTGTAGATCTCTGTTCTGGGAAGCTGTCTTGGCCAGACATATAGTTTAGTACCCATGCATGAAAAATCTGTAACATTTCTGTCCCTTCTGTTTGTTCAGTCTCAACCATGCAAGACAGAAAAATGACAAGTCTACCAGAGAGCGTGTGCTTGAAGGTCATGGAATTTGTGTCAGAATACACATAAAGTGTGTAACTGGCTAGAGTGTGATGTCTTTGCAGAGGTGCTCAGTAAATCTGTGTGAAAATGCTGAAGACCTGATTGGTTATAGTTTGTTGGAAGTCCTGTTACTTATTAAATTGGTGGAACAGACCTCTTAAATATGCAGCAGTTTGCTTCTTTGCTGTGTATTAGGAAATTGATGATTGGTGATTTTGCCCAAAGGGAGTCAACATATTTTCAGTATTTGAAGATATGGGGTTGTTATCTTAGAAGATGTGCTGTTAGTGAAGATCATGTTTACTTGGAAGGATTTTCTGTCCTTCCTCTCAGATCACCATTATAATGCTAACGGTAACATGGTAGTGTAGTAAGAATTGGGCAAGTTCCTTCCCATGCCATTAGGAGGATTTTTAGAATTGGTTCAGATTTCCCATAGTCTCAAAGCTCTGTTAAACTACTGAATACTCAGCAGGAATTTTTCAGAAAATTCCAGTGGTGATGGTGTTTCGTAATACATTTAACTGTCTACTCAATCAATATGTTTGGAGATACCTTATTTTTGTAAATTACATTCCTTCTCAGTTTGTGTCATGTCATATAGTAAAAATTCTTTAATGTTCAACCACAGACCTGTTGCAGATTCCGTTTTGTCACCTCAAAGTTGTTAAGTTCCGTTTCAGATTCTACTAAGAGTCACTGCTGAGTAGCAGTGACAGAACTGACTCATGTTCATTTTGTTTAAGCTTTTACAACCTCCTCTTTTTTCAGCAGTGCACTGGTGTCTGAAATACACAGGACTGAATACCTCATTACATCATTTCTATCCTACTCCTTTCAGCTCAAGCTTCCTAATCACATACCAACTTTGATATGACTACCCTGCTGTTTATTCTTTACTTCAGTTTCCTGTCTCTGTTTCCAGACTTGAGACAAACGCTTGCTAGCATTTTACATTAGAATCTGTATAGTCAAAAGAAGGAATGGTTAGTTACCCTATAGCACCTGGTTCTAGGAAGTATGTGGTCTGTGGCTGCCTTTCCAATAGTTCTGAGTCCAGTCTGCTTGAATTTCTTGTTGACGAAGGAACTGACAGGTTGTTGAGGCTGCTGCATCTTTTGCCACTGTCTTTGTTGGTTCTGGCTGAGCCTGTGTCAAAAGGTTCTCACAATGGACAAGTGCACTGTACAGAGAAAATCCAGTCTTGAGTATATGAGGCATTTTCATACCTAAAGTGAAGAGCACATTTCAAAAAACACAGCTACAGTAGGGTGAGTAAACATTTTTCTCACTGTTTGTCAAATGAAATTAATTACTCATTATCCACCAACACACAGCTTTCTTAATCATGATATTTAGTCTTATTTATGTTCCCCAGTGTTAAATGACATGCAGGTATGCTCTGTCAAGAGATGAAGGAGGGATAAAAATGTCTGCACAACATTAGTGGGAAGAAAGTTAAACCTTTAGAAATTAACTCTTCTTCAATTTCTTATGTTTTATGTGAAATAAACTTTCAGTTTTGAGCTACTGTGCAGGACAAAATTTGTTTGGGGGAAGCAGAGTGTATTTTGCTTTTTGGTGTGTTTAGTTACATAAAAAACAATATATACATGCTGCATTTTTCAGAATTTTTGTGTCTATCAAATTAGAGCTAATCTTGATAATGCTTGTTTACATTGTACAAGCAGAAATGCTCACACTGTCTTGCATTTTCATCTAAATAGGAATACATAGATTTTTGCTTTCTTTTTGGTTCCTCTTACCTGTATAATACATGGATGTGATTCTGATAATTAAGCACTCTTCTTAAAATATTGATGCTTCCTAGTACTAATTGAAACAGCTGAGTATTACAAATGTCTTGTTATTAGAACATAAAAGGAAAATGCTTCTTTTTCATTTTCTTTGTAGGCAATTAACCAGAGGCTTACCCCAACCCAGAAATTTACACCAAAAGACTTAATTGCTGCAATGAAAGCCCTAAACGTGGAACTTGGATTAATTATTGATTTAACATATACCACACGATACTATGAAGTTAAGGTAACAGAAGTCTAATAAAAATGTAAAATAGTTACTGCAACTTCAGTTTTAAAGTGTATTGCACATTTGCTTACCTTGAATTGGAATAGACAAGCCATCTAGACTAATCTTATGTCTCCAATAGAAAATAAATGTTTTATCACAGAGGAAATAGCTCATTCTCACAGCTAGTTGCATTTATCCATTATGGTGATTCAGTAATAGATGAAGACTTCAATTCCAGGCACTGCACAAAAAGTGCAGAAGAGTTGTACCCTGGATCCTGAAGATACTCTCATTTATTCCTAGGTGGTTCTTTTTACTGATCCTCAGTGGAATCCACTAAGAGGGTGTATATTTTTAAGCTACTTTATCAACTTAGAAGTTTTTACCTGTGTGGTTCAAACAACTGTGATTAATCAGCCTCCTGTTGAAAAGGAGAATAAATGGCAGTGTTCAAAACAGAATGCAGATCTTTGATTGCACATGGGCTCTAGGCATTAAGGGAGTGAAGGTGTGATGAATGTACATGATTTTGGGTAGGAGGGACAAATACTGCTAATAATTGTAAAATGGATTAGAATAGAATGCCAAGAATCTGCTCCCTTACTTAATGTGCAGCCTTCTTAGCAGGGATAAATAAATCTTAGGTAGGAACTGTTCCTTGTCTGAGATGGTCTTTAATGTAGAAATGTTTCTGGTAGTTTCTGAGAGTATGTTTCTATACAATTGTGCCAAGATTGTTTTCAGTTTCTATTCATGATTTGAACAACTGGTTTACATTGTCATTAAGTTAGATACTCCATAAAGTTTCTCATTGTTGCAAGACTTCAGTAATTTTTACCATTGTTTTTTTTTTTCTTTTGTTGTTAGGATTTACCTAAAAGTGTGCAGTATAAGAAACTTTATACTGTTGGACTTGAAGTCCCTGATAATGCTACTATCCTACAGTTCAAAAAGTGGGTCAGAAAATTCCTTTGGGAAAATGCAGGAAATGGTAAATATCAGCATCCTGTGCTGTAAAAAAAACTCACCACAATTTTATTTCAGTGCTGTGTCATTTACTAATTTCAGTACTCAGTAAGATTTATGACACCAAGGATCTCAGGCTTTCTACAGCACTTTCCACTTTATTATCATAATAAGATCCATTATGCAAACTACTACATGTCTTTTTTTTCAATCAAAACATGATACTTTTCAAAAATGAATGGTAACTTAAATGCCCTAGTGTTACATTTGTGTTATGTGTCAAAGTAACTGCAGCAAGGCCTTCCTCTGTCTGACCCAAATGGTTTACCATCAGCTGAGTGTTGCAGCTGCCGGCCCATGATGGGTGTTTTAAATAGCACTGGGTCTCTGATGGCACTGGGCCCTGGTATGTGTGAGCAGCTTCAGTCCATTTAGTCTGATGTAGTGTTTTTTTGACTTGAGTCCATTATTGCCCTTAGATCTGAACTGTTCTTGAAAATCTGATTGCAGACCCAGTGTCAGTGTTTCAACAGTGTGGCTGTGCTGCTGTTTCAGTGTCTATGCAACAGGACAGTTCTTGCTGAGATTGGATAAGGTGCTTTTTATGAAAATAAATTAGTGTGTATTTTGCCACAGTGTGTTTGTAGCTTTAAACTTGTCACTTCTTTTGGTAGTGATTCTTTGTAGGCAGATGATTTTACCTGTTTCTTTATCCAATAGTGGTGGACCGTTCTTTCAGGCCTTTTCATGATATTTACTGTGGTTTGTTTGGCATTCTCTTTGAGAAAGTAGAGATATTAACTGCCCAAGTGCATACAGTTTTTATTGCAAAGCATAACCAGGGTCTTGCTGTGGGCAATCAGATGTTTTGTGAAAAAGTTCTGACCTAAATTTCAGGTATGAAAGCCTGAATTAGAACTACTGGGAAAATGAAGAAGTGTAAGAAAAAGCTTTTGTCATTGCTCAGGAAGTTAGTTTGTACATACTTCCTTTGCTCTTTTTTGAATTAAGGAAATTACCTGGTGATTGCTAGTTTTCTTTTGGTTTGGATCTAGTCGTTTTTGTGTGACAAAGAATAGTGTGTATCTGAATCTGATCTCGAGAGAATCAATTCTTAATTTGTTACTGCATGTTGACCTGCAGTTGCAGCTTATAAGGGCATTTTGGCAGAGCTTATGTAACTTCTGACTTGGGAGAATTTTACTGCTCGTAATATGGCCTCTGTTTTAGGTAATCCCTAAAATAGCTCAGGATTCTTTTTACAAATACTTTTTGAGAAGGTGGGGCTTTTATAGTTTGAGGTTTTAGGACAGCAACTTGTAATGAACTTATGTGGCAATTTGACTGTCGTGATCTGTGGCAAGCACATTTTGTCTCAGTTATGTCATTCAGAAGTTTATCAATGTCCTGTTTCAAAGACCATCTGTCAGTACTGCCTCTGCCAAAACTTCGTTCTTCTGATGATGATAATTTTTCCTCTAAAATCTAGCCTAAAACTCTTAATCAGTTACACATTTATTCTTACACCAGCTTTGCCCTTTAAGTATTATTCTCTGTCCCTGCTATTATATTCAGTATCTCAGATTTGGTTTTACAGACTAAGACAAGCTTCCTTCTTTTATGACCATTATACTAGCCCTTTCTACATATATTGAATTTGTTTGTTTTTCTTTACATTTCAATATGAATATAAATAGTCTGGATGGGGTTTTACCAGTGCCTTGCATGATCATATTAAAGTTTTCTTATTTCTGCTGGGAGTCTCTCATTTGAAACACCCTAGCAATTGTAAGTTATTCTGTTTTTTTGACTTTGGCCAATTAGTATAATCTTCTTTTTTAAAGAGAAGATTTCTGTAGAGATTACTGGTCCTTTTTTTATCCATATATTTTATACTCCTAAGCATTTCATACTTTTAGGTGCATTATGTGTAAGTTAAATTCCTCAGTTCTACGTTTTCATGTTGAAATTTGCTTTCAAACCTATATTTTATTCTTTTTCTCCCGTTACTGCAGTGGCTGAGGCTAGGTGCTTTACCTGCCATCTCTTTTTATTTTTTTTCTACATTCTGCAGAGTCAATCTCAGCTGTCACAGGTTTGGAAGTAGTGACCTAACAGCTGCTAGAGATCCAGCATGGAGAGAACATGTGTCCTGTCTGGATGCATCTCTTGTTTTACAGTAGACTTTGTAAATAGCAAGCATTATTTATCATTACTTTGCTAGAAAAGCAGAGATTTTCTTTTGTATTGTGCTAGCTTTCTATTAATTTCACTTTCTGAACTATTAAAGACTCTTTCCTTTTTTGATAGAAAAGCTCATTGGCGTGCACTGTACTAACGGAATTAATAGAACTGGCTACCTTATATGTAGGTAAGGCTGTATGAAAGCAGAAATCATTTTTCACAAAAAGTAACATCCTTACATTACTCTGTATTCCCTTTGAGACAATAACAGTCATATCTTTCTTCAGATATCTTATAGACGTTGAAGGCTGGGATCCAGAGGCAGCAATTCAGGGTAGGTATATAGTTTGAACTAATGCACATGTCAGGTTGTACTTCACAATTACTAAAAACTCACAAATACTACAATTCTATTTTAGTATTTTTTCAGTAATTTCATGTGCTGGCTTGTATAGAAGATTTTATATCTGACTGTTCATTCTATTACAGGCAGAACTTGAGCAATAGCAAATGGACAGCAAAGGAAGAGTATGTTTTAGCTGCTAAATTTTTTTTTTTTTTTTGACTTGAAAGAGTTTTCAGTCATAGTTTGCTACCACTACTAGTTTCAGGGATTTTTTTAAAAAATGCTGCAATGATGCCAGCTTGCTGAAATATTTAATACCAAGTTAGAATTGTTTCAAATCCAGCATCTCATGGGGAACAGAAACTTGCCTTTCACATTTTCATGGCTCAGTTTGACCACGTTTCATTAGACTGTGTGATTTTTTTCTTCAGCTTTTGGCGATGCCAGAGGTCATTGCATGGATGGCCTTGTGTACCTCACAGATCTCAGGACACAGCCGATGCGAAGGTAAACAAAAGCTTTTAGTCATATGCTTAGAATCTTCCAGTATGTCTCCTGGCATTTTTAAAAGCTCACTTCCAGTCCTAAGCCAAAATTAATTCCCTCTTCAACCTTTAATATGAAACTATACGTAGATGTAAAATACACGTGTACTTGTTCAAGTATTCTCAGATGAGTAACATGAAGTGCAGTGTACTCTGTTCATCTTTTGAATGTATATGGTTCAAAAGATCGTTTTTAATCTGACAGCTACTACTGAACATTGTTGTGCTTTTATCATGCTGTGACAAATGTATTGAGTTTGTAAGTCTATATTCTCTCAGAAGCTGTAAGGAGCCACTGCAGAGATGTCTTCGAAAGCTCTGTGATCTGCCCACTGTTGTTGGCACTGTAGAACAAGATACTAAAAAAAAAATAGTAGAACGGTTTTAAGAATAAAAAAATACAGGAAAGTGGAACATTGTTCTCAACTCCTTTGTTCATAGTAGTTGTATTTCTGATGTTTAAGAATGTTATGCTTATCATCTTCTCCTAAGAACAGTCAACCTTTGTCTTCCTAAGGCATTTGTGCCAATGATGTAGCAGTAAATAGATTTTAAAATTAATACCTGAGTAATTTGTTTCTTTTTAGATTAATTGAAGGTACTTTGTTTTGCTCCTATCATTGTTTCATAGTCTCTGCAGGATTAAGTTGGACTCATGTCAGATTTTTAAAATAAATTTACAAGATTAGTATTTTCTAAGCTGTCTGTAAGTTTTACTTAACATAAAATGTCATTCAGAACTGAAGAATTTTATGGGAGTGGGTTTTTTCTCTGTCAGTAGTGTGCTTTAAAAAAGGAAGCTTATAAGAGATTTTTTTTTTTCCCTCTTAGTAACCTTGGAATGGATGTATGGGATGCAGATGAAGACATTATCCCACCACCACATGCAGTGGAAGGATCTGTAGAGCGGTTCCCAAATGAAGATTTTCAGGGGTAATAGGCTGAAAAATAGAATTCAAAACAAAACAAAAAACCAATCAACCAACAACAACAAAAATATATATATAAATAAATCAAAAAAAAAGAACCAAACAAAGCCACAAGGGAAAATAATTCTTATTGAAAATACCATAGATACCCAAAAGAGATTTTATTAATATAGCCTACTCATTTAAAAAATGTATTTACAGAATTTGACAAAACAGCAACAAGATAAGGGTAAGAAAGGAAATGTATGAAACTGTAAGTAATTAGTTCACTTAGGAAAATTCAGTTTTACTTTGCCTGTCCTTCTTCATTATTCTGTAATAATCTGCAGTTAATTAATTTTGAGTCTCTGCTTTTGCCTGTTTAACAAGTACTATAGAATTACAATTGAATGTTTGTTACAGCTTCTGCTTTTACACTGAAGGTTTTATAATCTTACATACAGTTTGGACTGTTAGTAATTTTGATATCTTCATATTTGCAATGTTTTTCATGTAAATTCTTGGTTAAAAAGGAATTGTTTTCATTAATGACTTGTAGCATATTTAAAAGTATGATATTCAATACTTCTTAACAGGTCTGGGAAAAGATTAAGAATTTATGATGACCACTCTCACAATGATTTGCAAGGACAGATGCAGTTGCGAGATTTTGACTTCATTAATAAGGGGCCTGGACAAAGACGAAGAGCATTTCATGACCATCAGACTCAAGATGAATTACGAGCATCAGTGCAGATGAGAAACTGGGACTACAACAGGGGACCAGAACAAAGACAAAGAGCCTTTACTGATCACCAGATTTATGATGATTATCAAGAAAACACACAGCTGAAGGACCTAGACTTCAGTAACAAGGGGCATGGACAGAGTTTGAGACCTTTTCATGGACACCAGTTTCGTGAAGATTTGCAAGCAGACAGACAGTCTTTCGACTTCAACAGAGGCCGGGAACAAAGGCAGAGATCTTTTCCTGACCATCCATCTCCTAATGATTTGCAGGAAGACAGACAGTCAAAGGATTTTGATTTTGGTGGCAGAGGCCGTGGCCAGAGGCAAAAACTGTTCCATGACCGCCAATCTCATGATGAATTTCAGACTCAAATGCAGTTAAAAGAATTGGATTCTGCCAGTAGAGGTCCTGGTCAAAGACTAAGATCCTTCCATGACTATGAGTCACATGATGACTTGCAGACACAGATGCAATTGGGAGATTTTGAATTTGTTAAGAGGGGTCGTAGGCAGAGGTTGAGACCTTTTAATGATCACCAGCCTCGCAATGACTTAAAAACAGACATGCAGCTGAAAGATTATGATAATAAAGGTCCTGGACAAAGGTGCAGACCTTTTCATGACCCTCAGCCTTATGATGGCTTACAGGAACAGACTCAATCAAAAGATTTTGATTATGGTAGTAAAGGGCATGGACAAAGGCCAAGACCTTTTCATGATCATCCAGGTCACAACGACTTGCCACGTGAATGGTGTTCAGACAGGTAAAGCATCCTTGAGCTGTAAGAACAGAATTAGAGAATAAAATTGTAAACCTCAGCAGTTTCATCTTAAATTTCAAATTTTAGGTATTTTTTAAAATAAATTATTTTGAAATCAATTAATCATCCTTTTAATATATAAATGATCAGTTCATTAACTTTTCTCATTTTGACGTAAGGAAGGGTTTGATGTAAACTGGAGTGGTGCAGCTTCAAAAGCCAGGGTTTCCTTAATTAGAAGGTTGTGCTTCTTTAAAATTTGTGTTTCCTTTACCTTTTAGTCAGCTTGAAACAAAACTCTTGTCACACTTGGTTTTGTATATAACTTATACTTAAAAAAAAAAGTCGTCTGGACAGAAGAGGATATGAAATGGTATCCATGCCCTCAGCCAAACACAGATAAACAGGAATACTAGAAGGAAGTTTGATTTGTCTTTGATTATTCCATGAGTTAATAATTTGTTAGAAATCTGCTTCAGAACTTGCATTATATTCTCACAAATAAATATATCACTTATTAGTAAACCTATTGGGTTCTGACATATTTCAAAATACTTCTAATATTGCAAAATGTATTTCAGATATATTGGACTAGTTAAGTTTGTTTTAATTTGTTCCAGAGGATGTTGTTACAGTCAAGCAAATGATTGTGAGGTATTAAATTAATAGTTATTACAGTTTTTATTAAAATTTTAAGTAATCTTTATTAGAAGAAATATTTAATTTTATGTGTATTTTTTTCAAAATCTTACAACTGTTGGAAGTCTTCTTAACATGCAATTCTTTTCATTATTTACAGAAGTCAGTCCTATTCTTCCCATGAAAATGTACCAGAACCTCATTTCTCCTCATCTCCTTCACTTCACAGAGATTACGGGTCTGATAATGATGAGTTTACCAGAAATTACAGGTAAATATCAGGTATCATGCATCGTTTTCTGACTTATTAGTATTACTCCCCTTGTTTCCCAGCTAAAAAATACATATTAACTGCATAGTGTAAAAATCTGTGTTAATATTTTTGCTTAAAAGCAGTTTAACCCATTGGATCTGAGCACTGAGCAAATAATGTGACTAATTTGTGGTCCTTTGATACTGAGTTTTGAGTGTGATTATTGTGTGAATCCTGGACATAATCATTGATATGACAAGCACAGTTCAAGCTAATGAGCTACATCATATGAAAATCAAGTATCAGTAAGCAGAAAAGCAAAACACAGATGCTGTATTTCAGTCCTAAGCACTGCGTGCAAGAAGCTTAGGAGTTTTTCTGTGCGAGATGGTCAGACACTGGACTGGGTTGTCCAGAGCCACTGTCTCACATCCTTCAAGAATGGACATAGCCCCTGTACAAACTCATCTAATTAGACTTAGTTTGAGGTGACCCTAGGTACTTCTGGAGATCCTTTCCAATCTAAGTGAATCTATAGTTCAGCAAGGGAGAAGATTTTAAAATTTTAAAGATTGTTTTGAATTGGCTTATATTCCACTTACTTTACCAAGTAAGGAAGGTATTTGAGAGTAAAGAGAATTGAAACATATATATATATATATATATATATAGTATACACATTTTTAGATCATTTTATAGGAGAATGAGTCTTCTATTGCAGAAGAATTAATAATTAAAATATTTTCCTAAATATATTATTGCCTGTTGAGACTATGTAATAGAGAGCTATTGTTACATACTGTACACAAAAATGAAAACATGGACTTAGGAAAGATATCTGTAGGTAAAGATATCTTCAATAAACAGGTAATTTTAATTGTAAACACCACTTGAAACAAAACTTCCTCTAGTGGAATTACTTACTGTAAAGAGCTGTAATTTTAATCACTAGAAAATTAAGAGAAACAAGCTTGCAATATCCATAGAGAGGATTTTAATTTCAGGGGGTAAAAACAAGATTGAGGGTTGGAATTGTTCTTTCAATGTTGGACGCAGTTAATTTCTAGTGGTGGCCATCAACAATAAATCAACTGGTTTATTTCTAGGAATTTCACTGTTCATATTTGTTCTTGCAGTAATCGACTACATTGTCCTGAGGACAATAGAAGAGTGCATCCCTCAGAGGAATTTAATAGAGGAAAAAACAGATTTGCACCATACTCTTCACGAACAATACATCCATCTTCATCCATACACCAAGAGGATAGTTCAATAGACTATGAAAGAAAGCCTTTTCAGGGAGAAACTACCAGAAGCATGGAACAAAGTAAAAGATTACCAGTTGTAACAGTTGATTACAATTACGGTCTGCCACTGGATTGTGGACCTGAAGAGGAAGAGAGATCACATTATGATTTACCACCAAGAGACCACTACAACTGGAACTGAATAAAAAGGCCAATGTTTGCTCCACTTAGAATTGCTCTTACCCATTTTATTTTGTATGTGGACCAATTTTTTTTTAAGCAAATTAGCTACATGGAAATTTCAGTACTAAAGACCAGGTCTCTATTGTAAGATTAGCTTCTACTGATGTTTGGTTCATTAAGTTTATTAGGCTGTATTTGTTAAGTGTCATTGGAGACAATGTCTCTGTACACATGGAATTTAAGCAGTACTTCCTTTTAGTGAAATTGCAACCCTGAAACGAACAACCCCTTAAAACAAACAACTTTCCAAGTGATTGCATTTGTTTTTTGTTTTACAGTTCGTTAAAATGTATGTGATTTCCATATGCGTAATAAAACACTGCACTATCAGGTAGACTAGCATTGAAATAATGGGGAAAATAATTAGAAATTAATGAAGCCAAGTTATGTCCAGTTCATCCTTTAATTTGAAACCAGATGTTTGAATTATTGCTAACAATCACTGCAGCATCACAATTTACTCCTATATTGTCTGTACCTTCCACTGAACTGACCTAGCTGCGTTCTTTTTCATAGCAGAATTTTTCCCAGACTGCTAAGAACATGTAAGCAAGTGGAGTTTGAATACTCTAAATGTCAAACTTGCTTTTCAGTAATTCAAATATCTCATCCTGATCGTGTATTTTTTTTCCTGATTCCTTAGGTTATCATTGTTTCAGAATAGCCCACTGCAGGTAAATTTCGCCAGTTTCTCAGCAACAAATCTTAAGGAAGGTAGGTCATGTATGTCACCTTAGCTGTCTTCACTGGCCAAGGGCACTGGTGCCTATGTACTTAGACTTCCTTGTTTGTCAGTCACATCTGTCCTACTCCACAGTTCTGTTTTTTACTGGTTTCTTCTTACAGCAGAGCAATATAATCAGAACAGAAGACTTACTTCAGGTGAGCTCCTTTTAAGAGTCATGTATTGAACAGTTTCCTGAACTGCCTGTGGCTCTCACAAAGATAGTGCAACAAACAGTAATTTAATTTATGGCAACAGCTGTGCAGTAGCACCAACAGCTCCTATTGTGGGTAAACAAATCATTCCATAGGATAGAAAACAGTATTACTATAATACTTAGGTAAATTAAAATACCTACATTTTAATGAAGTAATATTTTAAAAGGCATCACAATAAATAAGGATAAAGGTAGACCATTATATTAAAATAAACAATTGAATGCAAGCTACTTAAGTCATACATACTTAAGGCATTGCCTTAAAAGCAAAGCTTTAAAGCATCAAGCAAGAGAGCAAGAGGGTGTAGGTATACACTAGAAAACTGGAAAAAAAAAATTAGTAGCCAAAACCCAGAACGATTTTTTTGGCTTTTACTGGCAGCATAAAACCCAGATTTCTGAATTTGTGTTCTGTACTAAATAAGAACTAGATTGGAGTATCCTGTAACTCCTGTTTTTTTGTAACACATGCAGACAGTTCCCCTAATCAAAGGACTCCATGGATATAAATTCATACTGCAACTGCTTCATTGCCTGTGCAACTGGTAGAACAACTTGGGCTTTGTTAATTGTACAAAGTAAATAGTTTTCTCATTTTCACAGCAGCTTTGTATTTCCCATTAAACTGTATTTGCCATCAGATCTGATGGTGAGCTTCATTCATGTGGTCTCAGGAATGAAGCTCTTTCTATATAAACTGGTTGTGGAACTGAACACTAAATGTTAAGAAAAGGCATTTGTTCCTTTGCTTGCCTTTTTTTTTTAATTAAATTGAGCTGTAAGATGAGAATCTTTATCTAGACTTCTTTATTTGAAAGCAAGAAAGATCTGCAACAGGGGCTACTGTAGTGCTAGATCTTTTAAAAAAATGAAAAAACCCCACCCTTCCTGGCATTCTCCAGCAGGGACCCAAGAATTACAGTCTGACACTACAAGCATTTGTTTGAGGATTTTTTGTACTATGTATCCAGTATTCATAAAGTAAATAAAGAGCAGCAAACATTTGCCCTTTGTATTTTTGTTTTGGGGTTTGTTATTTAGGATTGCAGTGACCCTGCCGTCCTACCCTTTGCTACTTCAGACTGGAGAGCTGAAAAGCTGGTGCACTGGAAAGCTTAGTAAAGAAACATGGCATAAGAAATTAGGATCAGTAGCAGCTCTTACCAGCCCCTGTCAGTTCCTGCAGGACTGTTTGAGGGCTCAGATGCAAACAACGGTTGTGCAATTCCTGTTATCTGACAAAATGAATGTCACTTTCCTACCCATGTTGAATGTCTCTCTTCAGGGAATATTGTTAGACATGTTTCCTCAAGTGGTTTTGAGAGGACTATATGGAAATAGACATAGGTTTGTGTATTTATAATTTAGGATAAGGCTTTCCACCCTTTTGTTCCTAATGGAATTAGGCAGAACTAAGCCCACATAATGCATTACAAACTCCAGCTGACATTTATCTCAAATTCCACAGTCAATTCATCACTGTATATTCACATCTGTACTATTTAATTGCTAATTAAATTCACATGGTGGAGAATGAAATTAAATATTTCTTGTTTTTTAAGAGAATATTGTATTACAGTAGCACTCATAAATAAAGCGCTACTTTTGTTTATTTCACAGTTGTACAAAAGGATCATAAAATTTTGCTGGTCTCTTTTGTGTACGTTCTCAGCAAACCTAGAACTAGCTCGTGTTGTGTAAGAGGATAAAAAGCCAGATAGTGTTGATTTCCCACTGCCCTGAGTGTGAAATTTTGAAGAAAAACACAATAATACAGAAAATCCAGACTGAGCACAAAATTATTTAATGAAGTTGTAATGGTTCTAATATATGTAACTGTTGAACTCTCAGAAAACTACTTTTCTGCTGCTTTTCTGAAGTCATTTTTTATTGGATTTTTATCAGATGGTGAAGCCCTCGTGCTAGCTTGCCCTGAGCTATGATCATCCTGAGTTAGGAAATGTTCAGGTGATTCCTGGAAAACACTGGAAGTTCACATGAGCTCTGTGCAGAAGGCTGATTTCCCAAGAATGGCTTGGGAAAAGGAGAGGCCAGCTCCGCCAGAAAACCAGAACACAAGGATACAACTAAATTTATATGTAGAAATCTGCAATGTACAGTGTATAGTTTTCTTTGTGAAGAACAAAGTTACTTATGAAGGGGCTAGAAAGGTTTGCATCTGACTGGTTTTTCTCTCAGCTGAGGCAAAAGGTAAATGACCTACAAGGAGCCACAAGTGTAATTTGGATCCTACCCTGTTAATTTGCCTCTGAAGTAACTCCTACCAAGCTGTAGGCTTTCTCTTTGGATGTGCAAAAATGATCAGTGATATGCTGCTACCCTTCAAATCTCAGGTGCACTACTACAACCACGGTGCTGGGATCAGCAGTTCAGTGACCTGAGCAGCATCTTCTCAAAGAAGATCATTTCTTTCTTAAACGGTCTTATGTGAAACATCCAGAAATGCAGGCACCCAAAGGTCATTTGTGGCCTAAGAACCTGCTCGGTGCTGAGAAAAGAAGGAAGGTATTCCCTATCTGGGGGTTATGAATCCTTGGCTGCTGTGAAGAACAGTTTATTTAAATGTATGTGCAAACATAAAAAGCAAATAGCTTCCATGCTGTCACCAACCGCTAGAGCTTGTTTCCTCTCCAGGCTCTTACTTGCTCCAGTTGTCAGCAGACTGTGCTTTACTGGTTCCAGTGAACAGCTATTATCAAACCAGCAGCTCCCTTTCTTCCTCTCGTGGGGAGCCAGAAAAACAGATGAGAAAAAGGAACCAGGTGAGGAAACAATTCTTTGTCCTCCTAAGATGAGAAGGCAATGCAGGGGCTGTGGGGTAAGAACAGGAAAATAAATGTTTTGAAAAAGAAAAATTAAGGAAGAGGAAAAATGAAAATTCAAGTCTCAGGGAGAGTCACCAGTGTGAGGGAAGAAATGTGCAAAAGGTGCATGTGTAAAAAGCTGGTGAAAGATTACTGGGTATAAAAAGAGGGCCCATGCTGGAGGAGGAGTTCCTGGCAACTTCTTATCTGGGTCTTCTAAGCTGTGCCTATGGCTCTGTGTGAGCTGACGTAAATAAGAGTTATCAAGAAAATACAGGAGTACTCAGACCTCTAATCCTACGCTAAAGTCATGTGGGATCTTAAAACTAATTAAGGCTTCTCTCTAAACTTTAAATCTAGTCTATGTGTAGTATAATGTCCTGAAGATATTCCCTGTAGAATCCAATGAGAATTTCAGACAATCAAGTAAGAAACTACTCCACAAACCTATTCCACACTGAAAACAAGCTCCATTTTTACTGGGTATCAGGAATCCCATCATTTGAGGAATCCAAGAATAACATTCAATTTGTCTATTACAGGTACATACCTGTCTTATCTCACACTTTCAGGACAGCATCAAAACACATTATAATGTTGCTATTACTGTACCCATCTCACAAAACTTACAGTTATAAATTAGTTAAAGTGTAACAAACAAATCTGAAGTAACTCTCTAAGAAGTACAACAAGCAAGTCAATACAGAGTCATACTCAAAGCAGGAGACATTTATTCCTTTATGAGGAACACTCAGGACTGAATGTTCCACAAAGGAAGATGAAAGAACCCTCAACATAGATAAACCTGATAAAGTTGTTACAGATGAGGATGTTCCCCATGTAGTTCTTCAAAGGGCCTCTTCTAACACAAACAGAAATAAGTTTTTACTTTCAGAGTTATACTACCAAAGGTCCATAAAGCAAAATTAACTCCTTTAGGAGAAGAAAACAGAATTCAAACTATTGTTAATACCTGTTAATCTCAGTCCATCTTTGAGATGAATGAAGTAAATAAAAATACAAACTGGTATACCCAAATGCTAGAGCAAATTGATCCTTGTCTACACACTTCAGATGAAAAATGGGACCATCATATCCAGGTATCAACATCATGTTGTAGGTATTCAATAGCAATTCTGGTATACAGTAAATGGTAAATTCTGATATTCACACAACATCCTGGAAATCTTTCATATTTGAAAGTATTTGCAAATTAAAGTAAAA